TCTGCCTAAGAAAAATTGAATTTTTTTGAAAATTTTTTTTTGACGAAAATCGCTTTAATGGTCATAAAAATGGTGTTCCTCTACTCGGATCGGGCTGTCAATTTTTTTCTACACTTTTAGGTGTATTTTGTGCAAGAAATTGCAATAAAATAGTCTGCCTAAGAAAAATTGAATTTTTTTGAAAATTTTTTTTTGACGAAAATCGCTTTAATGGTCATAAAAATGGTGTTCCTCTACTCGGATCGGGCTGTCAATTTTTTTCTACACTTTTAGGTGTATTTTGTGCAAGAAATTGCAATAAAATAGTCTGCCTAAGAAAAATTGAATTTTTTTGAAAATTTTTTTTTGACGAAAATCGCTTTAATGGTCATAAAAATGGTGTTCCTCTACTCGGATCGGGCTGTCAATTTTTTTCTACACTTTTAGGTGTATTTTGTGCAAGAAATTGCAATAAAATAGTCTGCCTAAGAAAAATTGAATTTTTTTGAAAATTTTTTTTTGACGAAAATCGCTTTAATGGTCATAAAAATGGTGTTCCTCTACTCGGATCGGGCTGTCAATTTTTTTCTACACTTTTAGGTGTATTTTGTGCAAGAAATTGCAATAAAATAGTCTGCCTAAGAAAAATTGAATTTTTTTGAAAATTTTTTTTTGACGAAAATCGCTTTAATGGTCATAAAAATGGTGTTCCTCTACTCGGATCGGGCTGTCAATTTTTTTCTACACTTTTAGGTGTATTTTGTGCAAGAAATTGCAATAAAATAGTCTGCCTAAGAAAAATTGAATTTTTTTGAAAATTTTTTTTTGACGAAAATCGCTTTAATGGTCATAAAAATGGTGTTCCTCTACTCGGATCGGGCTGTCAATTTTTTTCTACACTTTTAGGTGTATTTTGTGCAAGAAATTGCAATAAAATAGTCTGCCTAAGAAAAATTGAATTTTTTTGAAAATTTTTTTTTGACGAAAATCGCTTTAATGGTCATAAAAATGGTGTTCCTCTACTCGGATCGGGCTGTCAATTTTTTTCTACACTTTTAGGTGTATTTTGTGCAAGAAATTGCAATAAAATAGTCTGCCTAAGAAAAATTGAATTTTTTTGAAAATTTTTTTTTGACGAAAATCGCTTTAATGGTCATAAAAATGGTGTTCCTCTACTCGGATCGGGCTGTCAATTTTTTTCTACACTTTTAGGTGTATTTTGTGCAAGAAATTGCAATAAAATAGTCTGCCTAAGAAAAATTGAATTTTTTTGAAAATTTTTTTTTGACGAAAATCGCTTTAATGGTCATAAAAATGGTGTTCCTCTACTCGGATCGGGCTGTCAATTTTTTTCTACACTTTTAGGTGTATTTTGTGCAAGAAATTGCAATAAAATAGTCTGCCTAAGAAAAATTGAATTTTTTTGAAAATTTTTTTTTGACGAAAATCGCTTTAATGGTCATAAAAATGGTGTTCCCCTACTCGGATCGGGCTGTCAATTTTTTTCTACACTTTTAGGTGTATTTTGTGCAAGAAATTGCAATAAAATAGTCTGCCTAAGAAAAATTGAATTTTTTTGAAAATTTTTTTTTGACGAAAATCGCTTTAATGGTCATAAAAATGGTGTTCCCCTACTCGGATCGGGCTGTCAATTTTTTTCTACACTTTTAGGTGTATTTTGTGCAAGAAATTGCAATAAAATAGTCTGCCTAAGAAAAATTGAATTTTTTTGAAAATTTTTTTTTGACGAAAATCGCTTTAATGGTCATAAAAATGGTGTTCCTCTACTCGGATCGGGCTGTCAATTTTTTTCTACACTTTTAGGTGTATTTTGTGCAAGAAATTGCAATAAAATAGTCTGCCTAAGAAAAATTGAATTTTTTTGAAAATTTTTTTTTGACGAAAATCGCTTTAATGGTCATAAAAATGGTGTTCCCCTACTCGGATCGGGCTGTCAATTTTTTTCTACACTTTTAGGTGTATTTTGTGCAAGAAATTGCAATAAAATAGTCTGCCTAAGAAAAATTGAATTTTTTTGAAAATTTTTTTTTGACGAAAATCGCTTTAATGGTCATAAAAATGGTGTTCCCCTACTCGGATCGGGCTGTCAATTTTTTTCTACACTTTTAGGTGTATTTTGTGCAAGAAATTGCAATAAAATAGTCTGCCTAAGAAAAATTGAATTTTTTTGAAAATTTTTTTTTGACGAAAATCGCTTTAATGGTCATAAAAATGGTGTTCCTCTACTCGGATCGGGCTGTCAATTTTGGATTTTTTAATTTTAGTTTTTAAATTAAATTTTTTTTTTTTAAGTATAGAAAAAATGAATTTAGTGAATATTTTAATTAACTTTCTTGCTGTGTATACATGTAATTTTTTTTTGTTCATGCTTTATCTAAACGTAAATAACTATTAAAAGAACAGTCTTGCTTCCATTCATGTTTTTCAAATTAAAAATTAAAAAATACATGAAAGGAGAGTAGTGTGTACCATGAAAGGTATATTTTTTTGCCTTTACGAGTGACTTTTTGCGTCTAGTAATTCTGGCTCATTGTTCGTACATGACATGACATGAGGGACCTTGCACATGAGGGAAAAACTCACACCTTTTCGACTTGTTTTCAAAATTTACTTTCTTATTAAAACTAAAATTATAATTACCACAGTAACCGTAATTAATGTTTATATTTTTTTATTACTGGCTTCTATGCGCCAACACTTCTTGTATGGGGAATAAAAAATTGTTGAAAATTTAAATTTATCGTTTTATGTAAAAAAAATGAATATTTATGATATTAAAAACAAAAATGAATTTTTTTTTTCTAAATATGTTGGTAAAATATTTTTAAATGTTGAAAAATTTAAGTAATAACAAATTACCTTTATGGTTGAAAAGTATATGGACAAATAACAGCAACTTACCTGAAACAGAAAGAAATTTATAATTAAAAATTATAGTAACATTTTTTTTCATTTAATTAACAAAATCTTAATTTTGATTAGTCAACAAAGAAGGATTTTTTTAAGTCGGGAATGTTGAAAATATTTTTCAAGTTTTTTTCAATGTTATACACAAAGAAAGGGAACTCTCTTGTCGACACAAAAGTGTAGACACAAACTTTTGCGGTGACCTTTTTCAAAAGTTTATTCTAGAAGCTACTCCATTCATTTCAAACTTTGTCAAAGAATAGAAAACATGCGTATGCCAAGAATTTGTCTGAAAGTTATATAATAAACAGAATGGATGAGAAAAAAGAACTCCTTTTCCATATTTTGAATAGAAAAAATAGAAAAATAAAAAAAAACACACAAACGCAACTGCATTTTTAAGAATATTTTTTTCCCCTCTTTTAACTAAAGAAATAAAATTTAGATTTTTTCCGTTTAATTAATTTACTAATTATGAAAATCTGAGGATTTGATTGACAATTAAATTCATGAAATTTTAATGAAATATCATTTGAAATTGTACAATTTTAGTATTTTCGAATACTAAAATAAATTTTGGATATCGAATATTTAAATACGTAATTTGATAAAGTTTAGGGAAAATTGGAAATCAATAATTACCTACTGAAATATTATTTTTAGATTGCGTTAATTAAATACGAGGAACCTTACAATTAAACTATGTACAATTTACGATTGTATTATTTAGTTACTATATTCTGTTAATTCAATTATACTCTCTAAATCTGAATGAGTTGAAAATTAATAATTTTTAGTAAAATCTTGACTGACTTATTGCTAAAATTAGTAAATTAGCTAAGTAAAATTAGTAAAAATAAATAAATTAGCTAAAGTAAAATTAGTAAAAAAAAATACAAATTATTAGTAAAGAAATAACTAATTTTCAGTGGAAAAATAAATTACTTTTTACTAATAATTAGTAATTTTTAATTAATTTTTAGTCAAACATAACTTAAAATTTTCAAAATAAACATAAAAAGAGTAAAAATAAATTTTGGTCAGTCAGAAGGGTTTAAAATTTTATTATTTTATCATCCGTAGTAAATTTAGTTAGACAATACTAGTTTAAAATTTTGTGATATGAAACTGAAGCTAGCCGCCTGTTTCTAGCCGCCTGTTATTCGTTTTTTTTTGGAACACCCGGTACAAAACATATGCTAATTTCTTCTCCGTTTTTGTGATTCTATTATAAATACAAAAAACCAAATTATGACCAATTATAAATTTTTTAACGTCGTTTTTTGCAATTTTAAAAGAAGTAGTAAAATTTTTGCTCCATCCGATAAAGAATTATTCAAAATTTGTTTAAAATTTAGTCATTTTATTATCAGTAGTAAGTTTTGGTCAGACAGAAATGTTATCTTAAATTTTGAGATTTAACTACAAAAAAGAAAATATAAATTTTCCGTCTTTATTTAATAAGAGTAAATTTTAGTCTTTCACTTCTGATATAATGAGTGAAAAACATCTCTTAATCATTAATTCGATTGCCAAATTAATTGAATTATCTAATTAACTCGTCAACTGAAATTATTTCATTAGAGAGAACTAATGAAACACAGAAACTAAACCACAGAAAAAAAATCATTCCAAAATGTAATGATCAGTTAAAAGGGAACCCCCTCCTAATTGACCTTCAATCATTTGAAAGATACCGAAACACAATACCCAGTGAGACACCAATGAGCCAATGCTCCCAATCAACAAAAGCGACCTATAGAGTTGAGCTCAATCAGTCCTTCGATCGAAAGTCTTGCATCTCCTGACACGTGAACTCTGGGGGTTTGAGAGTTGCAGGGCTTCGGTCGCAATTATCGGATGAGAAACGAGTTTAAGAAAGCAGCGGTGGCAGTTCGTGAAATCGGTGGTGGTTCACTGCAGGAAGCGCAAGCGCGCGCGCCCGCGTGTGCACCCCCTTATCGAGTTCGAGAGGAAAAGCAGCGTTGGTATAGGACAGACACAGAGGGTGGCAAATATACGATACCAAAAAAGGGGGGTATAGGCAACGACGTACAACCAAGGCGAACGCAGCTTCAAAACGAGCACCGCAGTGTTGCTTGAGCCTTCCCCCAGTGAATGGTGTTCCGTCTCGAAATTCTTACGGTTAGTTGGATTATTATTATCGCCCCTTTTTTTTTTTTTTTTTTTTTAAAACAAATGCCGGGCAAATGACGGAAATTAATGTAAGCGAGGGAGGCGCTTATCCGTCATCATGTGAAGATCTCAACATTATAAAGTGATGTGGTTTTTGACGCTGCTTCTCGCCTTTATGGCAAGTGGCGGCTTTGCATGTCTCGATCATTGCCAATGCTATCCGGAAGCATTGACTGTACAAATGACATGCACCGGCAATGTTCCCACGCCGCTGGATCATTTGCCCAGCAGTTTAAAAAAATTGAAATTCGAAAATGCCGACGAAATGGAGGTAAGAACGTTTCTCGACAATTTTCCAAATTCATTAATTATCGAGGAGATTGTCTTGACAAATTGCTCGTTGAAGATGTTGAACGTGACGTGGAGTGGACTCGATCAAGTGCGCGAGTTAAATTTGTCTCATAACATGTTCGTACAGGTGCGTGATGTGGGGGCAAGTGAAGCGTGCAACGTGACGGTCCTTGACCTGTCAGGCAATCAGATCAGTGACATTGGTGACGAGGAATTGAGGACATTTACGGGATTAACATGGCTGAGGATCAGCAACAATGGATTGTGGAACGTGACCGAGGACGCGTTTAGCGGACTAAGTGTTCTTGAGGTGCTCGACCTCTCGGACAACAAACTCACCACGCTGCCGGACAATGCTTTAACTCCACTTGAATCGTTGCAAAAGTTAGATCTCAGCGGTAACCAATTGCGAGTGCTTGGTGCCAGGTGGTTTGAGAGTCTTGGAAGATTAAGAGAGCTCGACGTTTCTCGAAATGGTATTTCACGAGCAGCATCTGGTGTTCTACAACCATTGCCAGGACTCTCCATTTTGCGATTGTCGGAAAATCCACTTCGCGAACGGGATGTATCACTTCTTTTGGGTACCGGTCGACGTCTTGAGACTGTCGATGCCTCACACACGGGATTGGTTCGCGTGCCAGCGGCACTCACGAGGTCAGTGAGAGCACTACGATTAGCCGGTAATAAGTTAACTTCCATCCGTGGCGGTGATCTTGACAGTTATCCCCTTTTAAGACTATTGGATTTATCAGACAATCGGTTAAACGAAGTGGAAGACGATGCCCTTGGACGTTTAGAAGTCTTGGAAGTATTAAATTTATCCGGCAATCTTTTAGCAATTGTGCCACACAGTTTGCCGACTAGTTTAACTGAACTTCACATCGAGCGTAACACAATATCGTCTCTTCGATTCGGTGACTTTGATGGATTGTACAATTTACGAATCCTTAAAATCAACGACAATAGGATAGGGTCGATCGAAGAGGGATCGTTTAGCCAATTACCGACACTAGAGGAGTTGAGTGTATCGAATAACCCGATTAAAGCATTACCGGCTAATACCTTCAGTGGGCTAACTAATTTGGTGAGGCTTCACTTGTCGGGATTGAGTTCCCTCAGTCGTGAGCAACAGGAACAAAGAGACATGGCCTTTCCGGTGCCAACCCCTGAAAGATTGACGACCCTCGACGTTTCTCACAGCCCTGTACTTGCCGCACAACTTCTCACCGATGACGCTGCCCTGTCCGCATGCAAAAGCCTAACCGAATTAAATTTGGCTTATATCAACATCACCAACATCAAATCGGATCTTGTTTACGATCTTACACAATTACGATTACTCGGCCTTGCCGGAAACGATTGGAACTGCACAACGGAATTATACTGGCTAGGAGAATGGATCAGACAACACGGAGAATTGGATGAACCGGCACGTTGCACCGAACCATTGCATCTGGCCGGTTACCATCTGTCTCACATGCCCAATCCTCCCAGTTCAATTACAGATAGTCCACCCACTGTCAACTCAACATATTCCATTTCCCCTCATTCTCCAACTGTTGTTCCCCAACAAGCTGTAACCAATTCTTTATTCGATTCCACCACGCCACAATTGCTCATCAGTTCCTATCTTGAAAAACCAAAATCATTAACCAACTCGACAGAAATTACAAAAATAAATCGTTATATCAAACTAAAATCAAAGAAGCAAAAGAATGAGAAACATTACATGAACAATAACATGCGACTCACGACAAAGGAAGACGTGAAAACTTCCAATAAAGTTCTCAGTAAGACGAAAATATCAGAACTTGAGTCACGTTCACCGGAAGAGGACGATCATCATCGGAAAAAGGATAGTCAGCTCAACGGCAAAATGGGCGGCACTAAAGAATACGTGCCTTTAGCAAATGACGTATCGAATACAGTAGCGCAAGAATTGAGTGGACAAGTAACGGATTCAGGTGCTCGTGTTACTGATGCATTATCAGTGGGTGCACATCCCGGTATGCTTGTATTGGTTGGAGCTGCACTTGGAGCCGCAGCGGCACTCACTGTTGTTTTATCACGTCGTGCACCGATTCGTCGTCGTGATCAGTATCAACGTCAAGAAAACATTGAAGTTCACTCACTCACCTCAACAATCGAAAGATGGTGACCGACTTTTTTCATACGTGCTTGATCACTTTGTTCAAAACAATTTCGGTCCAGATCAAATCAATTATCATCAACGAGTTCAATATAGTAATTTTATACAAATTAAAATTCTCGTGGATCGACAAAAAAAAAAAAAACTCTTATCAAAGATCAGTCTTTAACAATCACAAAAACTAACGCGAATTATCTGGAAAGATTATTTTGAAATTTTTCCAATATATATAAATATGTATAGTGACAATAATAGCGTGACGAATTCAGAATCGCAAAATAGACTTTTTCATATTGCGACAAGACATAAAGTGTACAGAATTGCTGATCTAATTTGTGATTTTAACAATTTGGTGAAATTTCAACAATTCCTTGTACAAAAAAAAAAAAACGAAACAGAAAAAAATCATTAATAAAGAGGCTAGATATTATCTTTCGTAAAATAACCAGTGTCAAAATACCAGTACGATAATAAATGATGTACAAAGGAACACGTGTTTTATTTTTATGATTTTATCGCTTTACCTTTTAGTTCCTAGTCAAGGGGGTTGGGTTACGACGTGTTAGTAGAAAGTCATTAGTCTCCATTTTATCTCTATTATAACATACACGCGACACTTTAATTAGAAGCTTTATTTAACTAATTATTTCTTAGAAATTGATATAATTAACGTAAAAGGGAAATTTAATTCAAATTTTCATTATTTTTATTTTCTATCCTCTACAATGAAAAAAAATGGTATTGAATCAAAAAAACGCACATTGAGAAAAAAAGTTTTGAGTTGACAACAAAACATATGTGGAATAAATTTGTTGCAGCAACAAAATTTTTTGGTTATTTCAAACTTTTGAGACAACAAAAATTCTTTATTTTTCTTATTTGGTTGTGACAACCAAAGTTTAGTTTTGTCAACTAAAGTTTTGTTAGGTTAACTAAATTTTGGTTATGTCAACTAAATTTTGTTGACGCAACAAAAAAAATTTGGTTGCACTAAACTAAACTATGGTTGCCACAACTGAATAACAAAAATAAAGGATTTTTTTGTTCCAATTAAACTTTAGTTGGCACAAACAAAATTTTGAGACAACAAAAATTCTCTGTTTTTCTTATTTTGCTGTGACAACCAAAATTTAATTCTGTAAACTAAAGTTCGGTTGTGTGAACTAAATTTTGGTTGTGTCAACTAAAGTTTGATTGAAACGACCAAAATTTTGTTGATGCAGTAAAATTATTTGATTGCACTAAACTGAACTTTGATTATCACAACTAAATAAGAAAAATAAAGAATTTTTTTGTTCCAATCAAACTTTAGTTGGCACAAACAAAATTTTAAGACAACAAAAATTCTCTATTTTTCTTATTTGGTTGTAACAACTAAAGTTTGTTTCCGTCAACTAGAGTACGGTTGTCAACTAAATTTTGGTTGCGTCAACTAAAATTTGATTGGAACAGCAAAAATTTTGGATACACTAAATTAAACGTTGTTTTTCACAATGAAATAACAAAGAAATGGATTTTTGTTGTATGAATTGAACTCTAGTTGGCACAACCAAACTTTGATTAAGACAACAAAAATTTATTTTTCTTATTTGGTTGTGCCAACCAAAGTTTAGTTCTATCAACTAAAGTTTGGTTTTGTTAACTAAAGTCCACTAAAGTTTGATTGGAACAACCAAAATTTTGTTGTTGCAGCAAAATATTTTGGTTCCACTAAACTAAACCTTGTTTGTCACTACTAAATAAAAAAAAATAAAGGATTTTTGTTGCCCCAATCGAACTTGAATTGGCAAAAGCAAACTTTGACTAAGACAACAAAAATTATTTATTTTTCTTATTTGCTTGTGACAACCAAAGTTTAGTTGTGACTCCTAAGGTTTAATAAAAACTACCCAAGTTTTGTTGACGCAGAAAAAAATTTTGTTTACATGTATATTAACCAAAATTTTTTGCCATTGTCAATTCAAACCATTTTGTTTAGTACTTTCTGTACTTGTTCGTATTTCATTAAATATTTTTTCGATCCAAGAAAATTTTACTAGTGTAAAGTAAATTGAATTAAAAAAATTAGTGAATCAAATAGTATATATACATAAAAATAAATTGTACTTACAAAATTTGGAACTAACAAATTTTGTTTTAGTTGCTACAACAAATCTACACTGTTGTACTAACAAATTCCTTACAATTAGTAATACTAATATATTCGTTGGTTTAACGAAACAATAAAATTGTAAGAAACAATAAAATTTTGATTTAACAAAAATTTCCAAAAAAAAAAAACTAACAATTTTTTTGTTGTAAAATTATATTCGACAATACAGATTTGTTGTAGCAACCAAATAAAATTTCTTTTTCCAGATTTAGTACCTACAATTCATTTTTCTCTGTGTAGTTTTCTTGAATCAGTTTCTTCAGTATTTTTTTTTTTTTAATAAGAAAATATTTTCCGTTATAAAATAAGATTATTTCTATAGACTTCAAAGTGAAATTTTACATAGAAATATGATTTTCGAATTTTTTTTTCGCTACACGTATATACCTTATGGATTATTATTAAGTTAACTATATATAATACATAAAAACTACGCTCTTGAGAGGGGAAAGTCCTTGAAAAAAGATCTAACCACTTTTATCCCACTATCAACAGAATTCTTGCGAGATTTTGAGATACTTTAACGACTCGAGTTTGTGACAGTCGAGACGGGTAAGTGAGCACATCCGGCGCGGTTTCATTTGCTAGCAATTTTACACTTCGCTTGATCCATGAAAGCAAGGGGAAAATATTTCTGCATAGCTTCTTTTTTTTCCAGGGCACAAAAATTTCTCTCTCTCCTACTCTCTCTTACTCTCTTTTCAATACGAAAGGGTTTTTGTTAATTGAATGTTTTTTTTTTTTTTAAAAAAAGAGGAGATAATTTTTCTTCATTTAATGGTACACACACAGAGAGAAAGAGAGAGAGAGAATGAAAAAAGGATGCCATTGGTCAAAAGGAATTCCACATTGATAGAAATAAAACGCCGCCGAGGGTTGTTTAGTCTAAAAGGACAAGAGTACACGCGTATTGGAAGAAGTTTCAATAGATTTCAGAGAGGTAAAATCTATTAGTAGTGGTAGCAAGTCAGTGACACGATAGCATTGATCGTCGGTTGGCCTCTGTAGCACAAACTTTCTGAATTTACACAGATACAGAGAGAGAGAGAGAGACTCATCTGTGTATATGGCGTTTCATCGTATTCAGCTTCCATTAATGCATTGACTACATGACCAGAGGCGACATTTTCATGGTCAAAAAGCAAAAATATCATTCTTTCTGATCATGTCTTTTACCTCCTCTGACCTACTTTTTTCAGATCAGCAGGTTTCGTGAGATTTACATTTTTAAAGGAAACTCAGTTTTCTGAGAAAACATTTTTGCATTGAAGATGTGGTAAAAGTGGAAGTTGGGTATAAAGAATACCATAGTACGCCTCTTCCCCACATTTCTTTTTTTTTCGCTTTTATCAAGTATAAAGCAAAATTAGACTTTTTAACGAAAAAATTCAATTTTCTCTTTTCAAAATATTTGTATTGTCCACCGGTGAAAATTTGATATTTGATAAATTATCAATTTTATTTTTTAAGTTACAATTTTTTGGATTCGTAATTTTAATTATATTTTCTAAATCTGTGTTAAAAATAACTGTTAGTAAAATTTTAACTGACTTTTTCCTTAAGCAATTAGTAAAAAATGTTAATAAAAAAATTTCTAGTAATTCGATTATTTTTTGACTAATTTTCCAGTTATTTTTCCCACTGAAATTTAGTTAGTTTTTAATGATAATTTTAATAATAATAAAAATAACTTATAATTAGTAAAGAGTAACTAATTTTCAGTGGGGAAAAATAATTGAAAATTTAGTCCAAACTAACTAATTTTCCACTTATTTTTACCAGTAAAAATTAGTTACTATTTTACTAATTATTAGTATTTTTTATTATTATTAATTATACTATTAAAATTATTAATTTATTAGTAAAAAAATAACTAATTTTCAGTGGGAAAAGAAACTGAAAAATTAGTCAAAACTAATCGAATTACCAGAAATTTTAGTTATTCAAAAATAATCTAAAAGTGAATTTATTTATTTTTAACTAAAAAAAATTACTCGAAATATTACCATTTTAATCAGTAACTGACTGTTTGCCATCACATTAGTTATTTTTATCAAATTCAAATTTAAACACTATGAATTTTTTAATTTCAACTATACTCTAATCTTAAAATAAAATTCATGCAAAAAAAGTAAATCAATAAATTATGAAAAATTTAACGGATATCCAACTATAAAAGGCAAAATTAAAAATAAACTAAAATTGCTTCGTGTTCGATAAAAAAAAAAAAAAATTATTATCCTGCTAATACAAAACATTTTAAAATATTAATGGTGAAAAAAAAATTGTAATATTAAAATATACGAGTTTTCTTATCGTGTTATAAATTATATTAATTCAGATTTAATGAAATCCCCCAATAATAACTTTCTTCGGAAATGTATTTTTAATCTCCAGAGATCACCGTTCCCGTTGACCCCTTGGTTGTTTATTATCCATTTTATGAACACTTGGACGTTTTACAGCTTCACGAGAACTGTCAGTCATTAAAAAGAAATTGGATCACTGAATCTCATGTCGAGAGTGAGAGAGAGAGAGAGAGAGAGAGATCGACATTTGATTTTCCCTCTATAGAATATGCTTGAATTATTTATTCAATAAATTAATATAAACACGATACGTGCTACATTTTTAAATGAAAAAGTGGAACGTTAAAAAAATTTTATTTAAAAACCTCTATTAATATGTTTCACTGAAATAAAATCTTTTTATTCAATTCTAATGTGCCATAAGTAAAGTATATTTAAAAATAAAAAAGTATAAAAATATAAATATAAAAAAATAGAAAAATGAATATTTATACACTGAAAACAAAAATTTCTTTGAATCAAAGAAACGATTATTACTTGACTATTATCAAAAAAATATTAATTTGTATTAAATATAATTATATTAAATCGTATTTCTTTTAAATACAGAAATTATTGATCCAAATACATTAAATTTAATTCAATTATTTGGTTTCAAAAATTATTTGGTTCAAGTAAATATTTATTTGTATTAAATAATTATTATTTAAAGGTAAGAGTACTTAGCCCATTAACATAACCTCAAACTAAAAAGTTGTTTTTAACAACAAATAAAATTAATTTTATCAAATTTTGAAAGATTCAGTTGTACAATTATCAAAATAAATGATTTTACCCAAAAAA